ACATTTGTGAAGCTCGGGAGGTTGCAGAGATGCTGTGTTGGGGCGTTCTCTGTCTTGTGCTTGGTGTTGTATCACAGTGTGTGTCAGTCCTACAGGTGCTGTCTCTGGCTCGAGTGTGACTGTGTGTGTGTGGGGTCAGTCCTACAGGCGCTGTCTCTGGCTCGAGTGTGACTGTGTGTGTGTGGGGTCAGTCCTACAGGCGCTGTCTCGGGCTCGAGTGTGGCTGTGTGTGTGTGTGGGGGGGTCCGTCCTGGTCTCAGTGCTGGTTTCTCATCCCTGTGTTCGGAGGTGACGTCTCTCCCTCTCCCTGGCAGGACGGGTCCCGCGATCACTGAGAGAGCTGCGCCCCCCTATCCCGCACAGGAAGCCCCCCAACACGCAGAGCCACCTCTCTCCCTACCCCCAGAGCATCCGGATCAACGGTTCCCGGTGCCGGCGCCCCTTTCCTGCTTCGTCCCTGCTGTGCTCCATGGCGCCCCCCTGTGGCCGCACGCCGCAGCTGCGGGCGTAGGCCTGTGTCCGAGGAGCGGCGGAGGGCGGGACTGCTGCACCCTGCTGAAGAGGAAGACTACGACGATGATGCTGACGGTGGCGAGGAAGAGGAGACTCTGAGGGGCCCCGAGAGCCGTCTAGCGGGCAGCGAGCCCCTCCAGGTCCCCGGTTCGAGGCGGGGGGCAGCCAGGGGGCTGGTCTCGAGAGACTCGAGGGCTCAGACGGGGCGTCCCGGGTGCGAGGAGCCCACACAGACAGAGGCTTCGGCTGGGGTCACTGCCCGGTACCCTGATATTTCGGCGGTGTCGTTTGTTGGTTGTCTTGACCCCCGCCTGACCCCTCCCCGCACCCCCTCGGCCCGCGGCGGGCGGGGCAGCCCCACTCGGGCAGGAGGCGGAGTCCCGGGCCGCCCGGGGGGGCAGCTATGGCTGACCCCATCATGGACCTGTTCGACGACCCCAGCCTGTTCAGCCTGGACCCGCTGCCCGAGGAGACGTTCGGCCAGGGCGGCGCCGACCCCATCGAGGAGGCCCTGCAGCTGGCCCTGGACCAGGTGAGCCCGGCCGGCGCCGCCGCGGCCCACAAGCAGGCGC